TCAAAAAGATGTATAAGAGAAATTATTTATTGTTACAGCCGATCCCTCTCGATCGACGTGCCGCAATGCATTTCGTTGTGAAATTGAAGCGTACCTTGAATGCGTTATATCTTTTCGACGTGTATGAGTGAACTGTGATTTACACTGAAACTTCATATATCGAAACTTTAAACGATATCTGAACGGAGAGAATGCGGTCCGCGAAGGCGGCTTCGAAGATCTCTGCGTAACAGTCTGAGAATATACACGGGTTTCTTGTAATATATCATTGCGAACGTTACGTAATGATAGTAATGAATGTTACGCTGTCTCGCTACAATACTTACGCATCGAAACCGTTAAACGATTAGCTGTTAAAAAAGTTTTACGACTCGTGCTCTTCGAAATCGATATTTGAATATGTGTCTATGTAAGATATAGGCATGCACTTCTAATTCGCCTCCCCGTAGAGATTAGGAAAGGAAGATCCTCTGACGAACTTAGAAAGTATAAAATAAGATATACAGACGTACACGACGAGATGAAAAACACATACATATGCATACATTATACACAATGGAAACACACATACGTACCACGCTTCTTTTATATTATATGATGATATAGCGCGTTAAATATATTTCATTGTTATGAGTTTACGACAAGCTCTAGGTAAGGATTACGAATCCGTATTTCTCTCTTTCTCTCTACCATTAAGTTTACCATTATCATATATATATATATATATATATTTGAATATAATATATATTGTATTATCACGATCTTTTTGCACACATCCTTTCATCCTCTGCCAATTCATCTTCCCCTCTCTCTCCCTCCCTCCCCCCTCTCTCTATCTCTGTCTATCTTTCTCACAGTACTCCTTTCTCATCCGAAATGTGCATCATCCTTTAAAAAAAAGGTGTACTTTTTCATATAAAAGGCATTGCCAAAATAAATATGGGGTTGGAAGATTTAAAGTGGAAAATTTACTTTCTTGTTTCATACCTTCGTCTACACTCGAAACTTCAAATTATTTCCATTTATTTTGCTCTAACATTCGCACTTTATTTACCTATTCCTTTTGCGAGGAAAAATTTAAATAAATAAAGATAGACTGCAAGATTGTTGCATTTAATATTCCTTAAAATTTATTACACACAGAAGAGAATCTATTGATTTGTATATATATATATAATATAAATAATTTAAATTTATTAAAAAGAGTCTATCTGTGTTAAGTAATTCTATACATATTGATACATATATATATGTACATGTACGTGTGCGTGAAATACATATCCATATGTATACAAGTTTGCAACGTATTCTAAAAAGTTACATTATTAGTAGTAAGTATTATGGCGCACATACTTTTGTTCTTCATTGCTAAATCTTGTGAGTTTACGATATTTCAGTTTCCAGTTCTTTTAAATACGGCAATAAATCGCCAAGCGCGTCTATGTAATAATTTGGTACAAGATCCCGTTCTTCTTGCCGCTCGGATTGCTTCCATCTTTCAACGTCCGATAATGCGGTTACTCCCGTCAAGACTAACAAAGTCGTAAAACCGCAATGAGTTCCAAAGAGTATATCGGTATTACATCGGTCTCCAATCATTAAAGTACGCTGAGGATCAACATTAGATCGTTCCATCAACATTTTAGCCATGTATTTGTCCGGTTTGCCCATAATTACTGCTTTCCTCTCTGAACAACTTTCTATACATCTGACTAGACTTCCTGTACCTGCGAAAAAATCATAGATTTTTAATTAATACGCTATATATACAAAGATAATTCAGAAAGTTTATCTCAATGCCTACCAGGTATTACAACGTCATTTGAAACTGGAAATCTTTCATCTGTATTGGTGCCAATGAAATGTACATTGATGTCATTTAAATATGTAGCTGCTTTTACCATTTTAGGATAGCTAAAGTGTTCATCGAATCCGACTATAACAGCAGCTACTTCAGGATTTTTCTCAAAAACGGAATATGAGATATTCTGATCAATTGGATCTGGCCCTATTCCACAATACGAGATACCAGCTTGCTCCAATTCTTTCGCAATTGCTGTATAAAAATTAATATCAGAATAAAATAATTGCATACCTTACGAAAATTTTTTACGTAATTTTTCCTAATTTCTGAACAACTTTATAATTTTTTAAATAAAATTTCACAGATTTTTTATATAAAATAGAAATATTTTTCGAAAATGCCAACAAAGTCACATCTTTTTTAGAATTCTTTATATACAGGGTGAGTCTGATAAAAAGTCGACCATATTTTTCTCGAAAATGGTTAGAGATAGGAGGAAGACACCTATTATCAAAATTATAGAATAAGTAGGAAGATATACTTTGATGACCTTGAGTAACCTTAAATGTCCTTGGTTCTCATATTACCAATAAAAAAATTTTTTTTAATGGGAAGTGGTATTTTTTATTTGTTCTATCGATGGTGCTCAATGAACTAAATAACAATTCAAGAAATAACGATTCAAGAGTTAGAAGAAGTCCAAGCAAACTTTCCAGGAAGACTATGTCTAGATCAATATGATGAACATCTCGAACATTTACTGCAATAATAAAAAATTTGTTGCAAACTTTCAGTCTGACTTATTTTGATTTACATCCCAATAGTAGTTGAATTTTTTAAAAGATACTCTAATGCAAAATTATTCTCCTCATTTGAGTACCATCGATAGAACAAGTAAAAAATACCTCATCCCATGAAAAAAAAAAATTTTTTATTGATAGCATGAAAACCAAGGAGGTTTAAGGTTACTCAAGGTCATCAAAGTATGTCCCCCTATTTATCCTACAATTTTGATAATAGGTGTCTTCTCCCTATCTCTAACTGTTTTTCGAGAAAAACATGAACTTTTTATCAGACTCACCTTGTATATACATGAATGTTAAAATAAACGACATTGAATGAAAATGAAATTGAGAAACGTCTCATTCTATAATTTCTAATAAAATTTGAAAAAGTATTTCATCAGAATAGAAATTATAGAAATAGAAATATTGAATATTTCAAAATTCACATATATAAAAAATACTAAGAAAAGATATAAACTTTCTCAGTATTTCCAATTCATACAAAAATTCAGGGAAAAGTTATCTCGGAAAAGGATAACAAATATTTAGTAACGCCATTGACAGAGCTTTACCTTCGGAACCAATAACATAGACTTTCTTGTGAAAGTTTAAACTTTGTAAATAACATGCTGACAGATGAGCAGTGCATAAAATGTCATCCTTGGTCGCTTCAAACTTGAGTGTCCTGCACTTTTCCACCAAGTCATTGCGGGTCTTCGTGCTGTTGTTCGTCACGTAGAAAACCTGTTTGCCGAGTCTGCGGAAAAGGTTCACAACATCCGCCGAATGAGGCAGAGGTGTCATGTGCATCCATAATACACCTGAAAAAGATACCTAAGGAATCATCATCGTACCAACCGTGTTCACACGTAGTCCTCACTCACCGTCGCAGTCCGTCATGACGGTGTCGAATGAATTTAAGAATCTCCGGACGTTTTGACGAGCGAGCGCCTTCACATTTATCGCGGACATTATCACCTATAAAAGCGACGACATGTATCACAAATATCACAACGATGGAAACGGATATATACCCGTGTTATCGCCATAGGAACTTTCTAAGTATTATCGGGTGATAACTCAGATAACATTCATTATTTACCAGTGATAGTCCGCGTGTATTATCAAAACACGCGAGTTAATGATGGCACAGATCAGCTGATTCCACCGTGATTGTAATGTCACTTTAAAAAAAATCGGAATACGCCATTGGTGCATTATTTCAGCATTAAGGCCATGGCACATAAAAAACTTAAGACAATGGTTACATTCAGCAGACTCAACAGTTTTGCAATCGTTTTATGATTCTTCGCTGAGATAGAACTATTCCTTTAAATCTAAGGCCAGAATTCATAGTCCGGTCTTAAGCTGGTTTTACATTAGTCGCATCGCAGCGTCGCAAGCGTTGCGGTCCAATCAACGACAAGCTAGCTCGACTCTGATTGGACCGCAACGCTTGCGATTACGTCTAAAATTTTTGTACGTGTGATGGCCTTTAGTATGAACGAAAGCATTGAAATCCTATGGTTAAACTTTACCGGCACCGGCATAACTTAACGGTTACGGCCATTATAAATCAGGCTTTAAAAGTATAATCCAATCAGCGCGACGAATCATAAAACGGTTGCAAAATTGTTGCAAAAACGCGTCGAATAAGCCTAATTTTATTGATTTTTAAGCTGCGGCACTGATTCTGTACAATTACCGAAATCTTTATTCCCCTAATTCCTTATTCCTTCTATTGTGGCTGCATCTTTGCTTAACATAAGGTTAGGTGAACACAAGAATAAAATGATACATAGGAGCACTCGGGTGACGTTTCCGAACGCAGCCCTATTGTGGCTGCACCTTTATGCCTAATTCACACTGGACGC